GCGTGATTGACTTGGACGCAAGACTGGAAGGCAGAGTAAACAAGTGTGCAGATGACACAAAACTGGGAGGAGCTGTTGACTCTCTCAAAGGCAGGCAGGCCCTGCAGAGAGACCTTGACAAATTAGAGGACTGTGGGCACCAGAGTGCCTTAGAGAATATTATCACAGACTGAATTTTCTTTCAAAGTACTTTACATCCATCTGAAGATTTTAATAACCTAAATAGATACATAACCTAGAGTTATAGATCTGCTCTTCAACTTTCTTCCAATACATTAATATATCAGGCTTGAGTTGCAATACTTGACTGCCCAAGAAAAAGCAAATATTATAAATTATGTAGATTTCTCAAGAAGTCACAAGTTTTTGAAGTATGCTGAAAGTTTTACTTTATGAAACAATTTTCTTCCCCTTCAAAAAGTGATGACCCTTATCATAGCATTGTTAACATGACCTACAAGAAGAGATATGCTGACATTAACGTTTAAATACAGAGGACCTTCCACTGTGATATGGCTGAAGGTTGAACTTGACATGTAACAGGATATTTGGCTATAAATAGCTGTATTAAAATTGTCTCACCACAATAGGTGTATCATCTTTACTATCAATGACAGTAGATAATATCTTAATTAAATATGTCCTATACATCATTATTTGGATATAAATTTTTTATAAACTCTAGAATGACATATTGTTTCATATTTGCAGAGTACATTGCTGGCAGACCTAATTACAACAGAGATAATTTCAGTATGTAATAGGATATGCATTTTTTACTTTTCTCTTTTTATAAATGTTCAGGTTTTGCTTTACTTTTGTTTTTGTTTTTGTTTTTTTTTAGCCCTTGAATCTGCATTTTGCCTTTCTTTAATAATTATTTTTTTAATTTCAGCTTGTCACCTACAGCAAAAGCAATTTCTCATTCTTAACATCATTCTGGTCTATATAAGAAGGCATCTCATGTTCCTGCTCCACGTAGGAGTAAACAGACATTGAGTAAACAGACAGATCCTTCAGTTGACTGAGTTTCAATCTCATTTCAAAAGATAAACTCTTCACAAACAAAAATCTGTTATCAAAGTCAAGAGCAAAACAAACAATATCACAGTAACTGAAGATGAAAAAGCACGAAAAAGCTCCCAGAGCCATAGTCAGTTGAAGCTAATTGTCATTCTTATGCAAGCAATTCTTACAACAGAATTGAACCAAGAAAGTTTAGTTACCTCACAAACTGTATCAGTAGGTGGTAGGTGGGTGTGGGGACAAAAGTGGCATTTAAGCAGACTCATAGTGAGAATTCAGTTTTGAAGTATTGTTGAAAAATGTCAGAACTTGCAACATAGCACACTATATCTGCACTGCAGAAGGTTGCTGGCTTTACTTCTGCCATCACCTGTGTGTTTTTAGAGGACTTGCTTCCAAGTGTTTTCTGTTTTCCAAGTGCAATTTTTTTCAAATAGTGGCACTGAAGTGGAAACTGGTTGCTAAAATTCAGCTCAAAATCACAGTTTTTACCAAAAATGATTTTGCCCTCAAAAAAATCCCTTAAAAAAGGTTTCATATTACGGTGAACCTCTAAACTGCTTTTGAAATGCCATCACCTCTTGAAAGTGCCATCAAGACTTTGGAAGTAACTTTGCCCACATCTCATGAGTTTTAGGTAGATTAACTGCAGCAAACATTGATTGGCAGCATTTTAAATTTTGTTCTTTTTGCTGGTAAACATTACAAGTTTAATCTCAATTTTTAACACAGCTCACTTTCCTACACTGTATATTACAGCACAAGTATTTCTCAAATCAAAGTGAAAACTCAGTGCAAAGCAGTCTGGCAAGTTTTATAGAAGCCTAACCCATAAAAATCTCCCAAGGATTTGAATGCTAAAGGAAGGGGTAAAGGGAGCATTATGATGCATGCAGGGCTGTGTGAAATATAGGATTTTTTCAACCAGTTCTCTCCATGTCTCTTTTTCATTTTTTTAATTATCTTTAGCTTGCAAGTTGTAGTTGTTTGAGAACAAAACTAGAAGCTCACAGACTGCTGTCAGCTCTTCCCCAGCTAGTTCTATGATCTGTACAGCTGTTTCTGTACTTTCCTCAACCTTTTGTAACAATTTCTTGTTAAAGAGTAAAGGCTTTTCTCTGTTGCTGCAGTGAACTGAAGGTTTGTGTCTCCACTTTTGTAACTTTGCAAAAACACACAGAGAAAGATTTAATGACAATGCAATATTAAGGGGGAAACGGTTTCTATTTTCACAGAAGATGAAGGAAAGGCCTATTTGTTCTGATTTGTGCTCGAATGAAACAGTGAAATTGCCATTACTGTTTCTGTAGCACACTTGCTTTTAGCCCTTTCTGCTCATTTAGGTCTTGAGGAGGAGAGGCTCAAATGCAGGCAAGGAATCTTCAGAGTAATTGAACACAGAAAGTCCCTCAATACTCCAATAAGCTGGATTTATGATTCAGAACTTCAACAGCATTGGATGAAAAATAAGGGAAATCTTGTAAAACCTCATATATCAGAAAAGAAGTGATCTTTTTCTGGCTGGGAAGGGATTATAATGATGCAGGAAATTTTTCTTTGGTGATATTTTAAAATATTTTATTTTCCTTAAAATTTAATGTTTCACACTCATATTTTCCCAGATGAATTCTCTGGAAAAGGGTTAATAATTCCACAGATTCTAAGGCTGAAAATCATCTTTGTAACAGGTATTGGAGTGGGAGAGAAGAGTATGCTCGCACTTAGAAACTGAGATTCAGCATTTAATATATGTGAGCCCTTTTATAGTTCAATAGTTCATGAAAGAAATTATGCAAGGGTTATTCAAATGGAAGGATTTATCATTCATATGTACATTACGGTAGTGTGAGAGGAAAGTGAAGCACTGGGAAGAGTGAAACCCAATCACAAAAACATATGAGAAGTTGTTCACTCATCAGCAACAACAGGCAGCCAAGAGTTGAGCAAGAAGTCCTTCCAGAATTTTGCAAGGTTTCAGACGTGTGGAGATTGTTTGAAGAGGTCATGAGCTTTCTTAGATGCCTGCACTGAAGGGAGTGACAAGTTTCCATGTAAATAAAAAGCTGTTTGTAGAGGAAAAGACCATCTCAAATTCATGGTAGACAAGACAGAACAAAATGGGCCTAACTGCTTGCAGCACAGACTAACATTAGACTGTAGCAAAAACCTTCTCACTGCAGGAGACATAAAGCAATGGGATAGTGAAGACATTTTCTTCACAGAACAAGATCAGACAAAAATACATCATGAATTATGTCTGTATAGGTATCCAACAACTTCTCGTGCATCAGTGATTTGCTTTGTGCTTGGTCAGCCTAAAAAATGTGTAAAGGTTTACAGATTTAAGATTTAAAGCTGCTTATCTTCCCAGAAGGCTGCATAAGAGATTTCACAATTACTGTAATTTGGTCTAACTGAAAGCAGATAGCAAACCTTTTTAAGTCACCAGAGAAAAAACAGTGTCCATTTCTTGCAGTTTACAGGGGAAAAACACTGTAGGCAGCAAGTGGTGATTCAGGAGCCACTACAAGCTCTTTTCATGAGCTCAGTGGGATAGAACAAACCCTTCGTTCTGTAATGTCCTGATTCTTCCCAGTTTTAGCAGACCTCTCATTGGGCAAGGTTTTGCATTAGAAAACTAATTTGCAGATCAGAACAGTCGTCTTCTGTATTCCCCATGAGCCACTAAGTAAAACCCAAGTCCTACTTGCTACACACAAGTCCTCAGTGGCTGCTCTGCAGCTTGGGAAGTTGTGCAGGCTTCCTCTGGCACACCTGCCTCCACATCCTTCTACTGAATTTAAATGGGATCTCTCTACAATTGACTGAATGCAAGTGAAAGTAGTAGGTACAGAGAAAACAGCAGCAAGATATTCTGTGCCTGAGAGTGCCATTTCATAATTCTCTCTACATAGAAATATCAAAAGACATTTTAACTACTCTGTTTTAATGCCAGATTCTTATGGCTTTTTTTTTTTTCCCCAGATATAGTCTAAAGACAGCAAACAGAAAAAGCTCCTGTTGAATATACTCACAGCTCTATTTATGGATATGAAAATATACATTGCTGTCTTTACAGAGAAAACCAGGGATTTCAATATTTGTGAGGTTGTGAATATGTGACAGAATTTGTTGTCCTCAGATGCTTCCCCACAGCCTAAGGAAAGGAACAAAATCTGACATTCTGTGGTATCTGGCAGCTGCTACCCAAAGAAAAAAACCGTTCCCACTCTCTCAGGCAGTTTGTCCAGTCTGCAGGAGGAACTGATATATGATATAAGAGCTCAACGAGTCTATCGGAGGAATGATTAAAACCACTGTGCCTTTCTCCAATTGAGCAGGTAACACAGTACATAATCAGCCTTCAGAGGTAATGGAGTCTTGAGCTAAAGGAACAAATACTTTAGGAGTTCTTTTGCTTTTTGTCATCTTAAAACCTGCACCAGGATTATTTTTCTTTTGTTCTACCTGGTACCATTTGCTTGTTTTTAATATGAAAAATTCACAAGGTGTTTCTTTGACCACAAATGATTCCAGGATAATACTGGAATATACTAAAAAATGATTAGCAGAGGAAATGAGACTTTCACTGGACTGGTTAATGGAATATTACCTTCATCCTATTCAAGCTCCTCTGTATAGCTTTAGTTTTCAGATGACTTCATGGTCTGTACTGGGTTCCTGATACTAGGGATCAGAAAGATGCTCCACTACCTACCCATTTCCCTCCAGTTTACAATATACTACTTCTATAGCCTAAAATCAGGCCTCAGAACGCAAGTGGGATGAAAAATTAAAAAATTAAATTCTCCTATCAGGGAAGGATGACAAACTCAAGCTATATACAAACAGTGAACTAACAAAACTTGAATCTTAGAGCCAAATACTTGTCATTGATTCCCATCACACCTTTCAAATTCATACAGAATATTTAAGTTAAGGGAGGTTACATGAACTGAACTTGAAACACTCACCTTTTATTCATTTTGCATGCTGTCTTCTTTTTCTCAGCCACTAAAAATTATACACAGTATAACTAATTATTTTTTCTTCATTGTCAATCATTCAGTTTCTAAAATAGAAAGAGGTATCATATGTGGATTTGATGCAATCTGTCCTGAATCTGCTCTATTTCTTTCCATTAAGATCTGGAAAAGATAATATGATTTATTCAATAGCAAATCAGGTAAGTTTCCACATGACAGGGAGCTGAAAAATGCATATATATATATATATATATATATATAATTATGGCGTTAGAATTCAAAATGACCTGGTCAAACTGGAGAGATGATCCGAAGAAAAAGATTTCATTCAACAAAGGAAAGCCTCTAACATTCAGGGGCAAATAAGCAGTTGTACAAAGACTGGATGGGAAACATTTTCCTTCATCAAGTAGTTCCTCAAAGCGATTCCCTTATTTATAGCAGATCAGAAACAAGATGCTTTGCATAATACAGATCACAGAATTTTACTCAGTGATTTCCTCTTTAACATCTAAAATGATAAGAATGTTCCACTTCCAGGGCAAGCTGATGGTACTGAAATCTCAGAAAACAAAGAGAACCCTCTGACAGCAATGTGGTTATTCAGAAGGCAGGCATTCTTAGTTGACAGAGCAGATGCATGGGGGATGCATGCCATGCATGCCATCAGAGAAAAATCCTTCCCTTTTTATTTCATGCGTACAATGCACAGTTACGACAAGTATGTGTAATTTTCCAATCTCTTGAGCCAATTTGTTCTAAGTTCTATTGGAATATTTTACTTTATATTAGAATATCTAGGTACAACCCACACTTTATAGCTGTGTATACTATAGTTAGACTTAACTTGTTCTAAACCCCTTTGTTGTACTACAGATTTATGTTCTGATTTTATCTCCTTGCTTTCTTAGATCAAATTCTCCCATATCAGTTCCTCTCTTTGAGACTTACATAATTTACAAAGAAGTCTCAATTAAACTCTTTGAACCTCTAACACCATCACAACAACCCTCAAACTGTGTAACAGTAATAGTCTTGGACCCTCCCAAACCATGCCTGGGAACTGTTTCATATGGTTGGTTGTCTCAGGCTAAAGCTGTACCACAAACACTTCTACAAATGTAAAGCGTTTAGCCATCTAGATCACTGAGCTTAAGTATTCATACAAGTGTCTGATACTGTTCAGCTTACAGTTACATCCCCTGCCACAAATACTTCAAGTATCACTTTATAAGAAAAATTAAAACAGGCATCTACAGCAATAGATCTTTTGCCAGTGGTTCAAATGATTTTGGGTTTTTTGCCCTGCTTAATACAAAATGGTGTCAATTCCACAATTTATAAGAGAAAAATCCATTTTTTCCACATGTAATGAAGCTTAGGTTGCATATAATCAAACTTGGAATTAGTAAGTGGAAAACACTGTTAGCTGCACATTCCTGTAAAACCTTTCCTGATCTTCTGAATGTACCTACACGTTAACAAAAGTAAGAAGCTCATTAATAACATTTATTCTCTTTCAAAATTTTAATGTCTTACTAGTTACAACTTCTTCTGCTATGACACATGGGTAGAGAATATTTTTAATAATTAAGGAAGAGTATAATAATTTTGTCAATAACTGCCTACAAAAGTAGACACAAATTCCTCCTCCAAAACACTAAGAAAAGTGAGAATACTTTTTATCCTCTATAAAAAGAAACTACCACAGAAAAATAGAAAAAGCAATGTATCTTAATATAGTCTGGAAGCAAAGCCAATAGCTATCATGTGCCCATCTTCAGTCCACAAAAATACAGAACATTTAAGAGAGTTTTTGTAAGCCATGCCAATGTGTAAATATTACAAAGCAAAGTACTAATGCGTTGTCAGACCACATTCAGGATCTGCAGAATTCAGAGCAAGCTAAGGTGCAAGTGCCTGAGCTTACATCCAGACTTTCCGTGCAGCGCTCAAGCTTGGAGAACCAGATTCCCGTCTGACGTATTTCCTTAATCCCTCTCAGTTTAGCTACTACTACAGCACAAGTAACACGTTTCAGCTGTCTTAATTACAAGAGTTGTTCTCAAACTTCTTAAACACCTAGCTTGCTGCAACTTAACACAAGACAACTCTTCATACTGGGATGTTTGTCAAAAAAGATTCGGCACCTGCAGGATTTCACTTGGAATATTTTAGAAGCAAAGACAGACTTCCATTCCATTTTGATTCGGTTGACAGAGACAAAAGAAAGTATACATTAACACAAGGAATTTAATGTGAAAATTCAATGAATGGATGAAGAGACATTAGTTAAATTAAATTCTAAATTCGTATTTAATTAAATGGCTTTTGAACAATTTGTCTCTTCTGAATCCTGCATATTTTACAAGAAATTTATTGTAGTGTTTACATGTTGTTTTTTTTTTCTAGTGAATGAACCATTATTACACTACTGTTTTTATTGCAGGCTGACAATTACAGAACTGATTGCATGAAGCCAACTCTAGCTTTCCTTCATGGTAACTACTGAACATTGCTATATCCTCAGACACAACAGCCTGCAGGCAAAGCCATCAACCCTGGAAAAGATGTTATTTTCAAACAAAGATGAGGAATGGGAACAAGCCAGACCGTATAAAAATGATCTGAAGCAATTCTCTAAATCACTGACATGATGAGCCTGGAAGTATTTACCAAGATACATAAACCTTACACTTGATTATCAGTGTTGTTTCTGTCAAAGTAGTTTTCCAGGGATCAAACACTTGACCACACAGATTGTAGAATCTTCACAATTAGAAATATTCAAAACTGAACTGGACAAGGCCCTGAGTAACCTGCTTTACCTCCAAGGTTGGTCCCTTCCAACCTCAACCAGTTTTTGATTTGATTCTAAGGGGAAAAAAAAAAAAACAAACAAAAAAAGAAAAAGCTTCCAAATCTGGGAATTAATTAGTACTTGTTCAGAGTTTGTATATTATTAAGCATATTCAAGCCTGACTAACATAGTTGTGATGGGGAATAGCTGAAACAATTATATTTTTTCAGGTGAGTTAAAACCTTGTTAAAGTTTGTTTTGAAGTCATGGCGAGTTTTCCTTTTACCTTCAGCTAGAACTGTTCATGTATGATTAAAACAGGCTGTTACTCCTCTCTGTGTATTCAGGGACCCTAAGATCCACTAAAAGATGATGTTTCATGAACATTTTAAGCTGGTAGCTTCATAAGAAGCAATTTTCCCACCCTTTCACCCTACTACTTGATTTTGTTACTCTTACGCTAGCACAAGCATTTATGCAGCTTTGTTGTAAATCAGAATAGGGAAATCCAGGTCAAAACTATTTTGTTTATTTATTTATTTTTATGCCTTTTTGCTTTTATAGGCATTAGTGAATTACTTCTGACAGCATGGCTGGAGATCAGGGAAGCTGATGATTTTTTAGTGAAGAAAAGGGAATGATGCATATACTATCCGAAATGTGTCAAAATTAGGCAAGAAAGCTGTTAAGAGTCAAGAATTTAATCGGATGCCCAAAATTCCTCTCTTTTAGCAGTATTTTCTTCACAGAAAACTGTAATTAACTCAGTTATCCATTACTTCAATCAGAACTTGGAAGGTATTCTGCTTAAAAATTACTATATTTTATTAATTAAATTGTACTAAACAATTTCCAGAAGAACATATCAATATTTGCAAACAAAAATTTGCTTTACTCTGTCTTAATAATTCAAAATGAATGGATTTTTTTTTTTTTTCTGAGCACAGGTCAGATTTTCTCTTTCCTCTTTACAAATATTTATTTGAGTCTGAGGGATAATGCATCATTAGATTGATCGCAGTTGATTTTTTAAACACAAAGCAGTAAGCCCACCAGACAATGGCAAGAACCTAGCAAGGTTAAGTGACCAGATCTGTGACACATAGTATTAGTGAGTTCAGAAAATACTTGCGCTTCATTCTGTTTCAGAAAAAAGAAATAAAATTCTGTCGAAGAAACTTTTCCAAAGCTCAATTATTTTTGACTTCCATACAAAATCAATTACTTTCTTTGCAGTCTGTAACTGAAAGTGTTCCAACAAAATAAACATCTGTAACACGACAACAGAATCCCAGTATGTAATGGCTGGGATCACATCATGCATGGAATTTTCTTCTGTCTAGTGCCTTCAGCATAGTGACTTTGTACTCAAACGTTTTACAAGCGTGACTACATGTGTGCATACAAAAACATGTTTCTTTTTATGAAGGACGGCAGTCACAGATCTTTGTACCATTGTTTTGGCATCTTGAAAACTCATGGTCAATACCTTCCACAGATTCACTCAAGCCCAGTTTATTTAGTGGACTTCCCTCCAGTCTGATATGATATCAAATTAAGGGCTTCCCAAGTAATCATCAAGTTTACTTTGAGTTAATGGAAAACTCAAAAAATTCCCCAAAGATTTGGAGTGTTGATTACAGACTCCTCTCTGGCATTTGCCTGTGCTCTCTGTGCACCCATCGCACTTAATCAACGTCTTTGAGAGTCTCCAATTAATTATTTGATTATAAAGCCATTTGTATGCACTTAGTTTGTTTAGTTTAAGTGTACTGGATAATGCCATAATTTTAAGCTTTGAATGAACCTGCTGGACAAAGGCTAATTAAACTAACTTCTGGGTCATAACATAGACATTGCCACTAAAAACATTATTTAAAATGGCAAACAATCTAACAAGCTCTTACAGACTGCAGAAAAAATTATATGCACAGTACTACTATTTATTAGAAGAGAGTCAAAGTATGCTGTGCTCTGATAGCCCAAAGGACAAATATTCATTGTAATTCATTCTGTGAAAACTGAGTGAAAAGCAGGCATGCTACAAAAATCAGCATGCTTATGCTTCACATTGATTTTGTAACGATGTAAAGGATTAAACAAGGCCCAGAAACATGCAGACTTGAGCCTGCTGTTGTCTCAAATTTTGCTATTCTTTCATTGGATTCAATAGGTCCATGTCAGAATGGAGAGCAACTGTCTCCTTTCATTTCATCTTCCTATTCCTTTCTGAACTGCAGCCAAAAGGAGCACAGC